AAACAAGCCTGGTTATTCATCACATGTTTGCTGCTCCATGTGGCTTCCTCAGGTTTCCTTCTCCATCCAGCTTCATTCTCTTCTCTCTGATTCCTTCTCTTCTCTCCTTTTTCTCTGCTCAGCTCCACCCTCCTAGGTGGGGCAGGGAACCTGAACTTCCCCTTTTCCTAGGGACCACCCTGTTACAATAGGAGATATTTTCCCATTCTGAGCCTCAGCTTCCTCATCTGTAAGATGCAGATGGTAACAATATAGTCATACTTCAGTCCAAGAGGGGCTGTACCTACAATGGTGTTCCCAATAGGCTGTACCACACAATCTAGTTGTGTAACAGGGTGGTCCCTAGGAAAAAGGGAAGTTCCAGGTTCCCTGCCCCACCCCAGAAGGAAGGTAGAGCTGAGCAGAGAAAAAGGAGAGAAGGGAGAAGAGAATGAAGCTGGATGGAAAACAAGGAGACCTGAGGAAGCCACATGGAGCAGCAAGCATGTGAGGAAGAAGCCGTGCTTGTTTCCTGACCCTGGACTGGTTAAGGCAGATGTGCGTGAGATGCCTGTAGGGAGGTGACTATGGCAGTGTTTATATTGATTTTGATTTTGCTCTTTTCCTCCCAGACTTGTCTGGCCCTTTCTGACCCTTTTCCATGGGTCCCAGCCAGAAGTTGCTTTAGTCTAGTGGCAGCTTTCAGGCCTTGCTTTGGGCCAATCCCTTTTGGGTGGACTTTTGCCCATGAGGGGAGGGGTAACTTCAGGTGTTTGATTTAGAAGTTCTATTCTTTGGGTTCCGTATTGTATATTCACTGTATTAAAGTCTCTTTTCATTAAAGTTTTATGTTTTGTCTTGTTGCGGCAGATGGCAGAACCCACTTAGAGCAGGCAGGTTTGGGGCTTCAGGGGTGCCCCTCTCCCCCTGTCCTGTAACCATTTGGTGTCCTGTAACAGTTGTAGAGTAGGCTGTGCACCTATGTGTGTGTGGAATCACACTCAGTGATGGTCACACAAATGACATAATCAACTCATGATGCATTCTCATAATATGACCTGGCTGTGAAGCACATACTCTTGTTAAGCAAGTCCAGATTATGCCAGGAAACAGAGTAAAGTTTGAGTATTAACATGAAGGCCCTCCCTGGGCACAAGGGGTTAAAACGCAGCACTCTGAAGTTATCTGCAGGGAGGTGACCTGCCCTGTTCCTCCCCTCAGCAGTGTACTTCAATCTCTCTGTTCTGCTCCCCACTTTATCTCTGGTGAAGCCTCTCACTGCCCCTGCACCTCTGGCCTGTACCCCAGTTCTATATACATACATACATAAATCTTTTTTTAAAACAGAGAATTAGCATGGTGGTGCAAAGGATTAAACTGGCATACTTTGAAGTTTCCCTCAGCAGCTGCAGCATGTGTTCAATCCCTGGCCAGGGTGGTGACCCACATGGTGTGTCTTTCCCACTGCTCCCCTCAACAGTGTGTTTCAGTCATTCTGCCTGTTCTGTTCCCCAATTTCCCATTCTGTCTCTGGTTATGCCTCTCACACCCTGCACCTCTGGCCTATATGCCAGTTTCTTGTGTGCATAAATAAAAGCTAAAAAAAAAGAGGATTAGCATAAGTAACAAAGTGGTTACACAGAATGTCTTTATAGTCCCATTTGTTCTTTTTTTTTTTTTCCTATGGAATGGGTCTGTGTTTGCATATGGAAGGGTAAGCATGATGTATTGCTTACTCAATCAACAAATGCTTAGTTATGTATATCTATTTCCATCCCCAACCTCCTTTTGGATGGAATTTGTACTGAAGGGGCTGTGGCCAGCTTGCAATGCTGCACTTTAACCTGTTGTACCACCAAGGAGGGTTCCCAATCCCCTTCTAAGCCATCTCCAGTCTCCTAACAAGTGTCACTTGTAATTTCACTTTATTCCTGTGATTGTGCAGCTGCCAAATTTTTCTCCCTCAGAATTGTGGTATAAGAGATTAGCTTTTGGGAGCAGAGTCTTATGCAGAGTTCACGGAGTAACACTGTATTCGTGCCAGTTCTGCCAATTGCTAGGAAAAGACTCCAAACTCCACATGGATTAAGTCATAAAGCCATGCCTTTTAGCTTCAGCTTCAAGTCTAACTGGGTCCAGGGACTCAGACCATGCCTCCCTTTCCACTGATTAGCTCTACTGTCTTGTGTATGATGGATTCAAAATGCACAAAACTTTAAGAAGACAAATCCTAACACTGGTGGGCTTGCACTAACTCACTTTAGCAACTTCTTTGGAAATGGCCCTTATCTCACCCAGTCCTCTGGCTCTCTTTCAGAGAAGATTCTAATTGGCCTTGACAGGTCACGTGCTTCACCTTTAACCAATTACTGTAGAGAAGGAATGGAGAACTTTTTAGAAGGAAAGAAAAAAATGCAGTCATCACATACTGCCACATGGTGTCGCTCAAGCAGAGGTTTCAGGCATGAATTGGACTTTGCCTGTTGGGCAAAAGGAGAAAGACTGCTTACTTAGAAGAGTCTAGAAAATTCAGAAAAAGGTGAACCAGCATGAGATTTTCTTCCTACTCTCATCACCATGTTTACACTGGGACTCCACAGGAACACCAGTTTTTGTTGTTTATCGAATGGCTTTTCCCCTGGGTAAACAAAGGTTAGCAGGTCAGCCTGACCCCTCTAGTCCAATTGGCATATCACCATTGGCATCTTACCAGCACCTGCCCTCATCCCAAGCCTCTTGGACTTCTGGCCCCTTGAGTAGTAGCCCCAAGCTAGTAATAGATGGGATTTGGAGAATAAACTCTCCAGTTCTGATCCTGGGACACTATGAGATACAAGCTGTCTCCCTGAGGTCCCGACTAGACTAACTCCTATTACCCACCAACTGCCTACTCATTGAGCACTTCCTGCCATGATCCTTCACTTGATAAACCAGGTCTCTAATCCTAGTGAGGTTTCTTAGGGTTACCTTCCAAATAAACTATGTACCTCTGAGTCTTCATCTGGGGGAGGACCCCAAACTCAAACATAAAAGACCACCATCACTGCCTACCCCCAAGGTATCCACATGGTGCGGCAGACCTCTCCTGACCCAGCCGCTGCTCCCCTCAGCAGTGTACTTTGATGATCTGCCTGTTCTGCTTCCCAGTCTGTCTCCTGTGAATCTTCTCAACACCCCTGCACCTCTGTGGCCTGTACCCCAGTTCTGTATGCACAAATAAATAAATCTTTAAAAAAGAAAAAGAAAAAAAGAGACCACCATCAGTCCAGGATTACAGCTTCCACATTTGATCCATCCTCATAATCATGAAGGTTGGTAGAGATGGTTACTCCTGTTTTTAGTAAGGAAAAGGGAGGAACTCGATGGAGACACTCAGCAACTTCATTGCAAAGCTAAGCAACCAGGCCTCTATCCCCTCACTGACTCCTAGAGAGGAAATTTTAGCATCCCACATCCATTTGTTAGGATGGTTAGATCTGGGCATTTCTACCCCCCTACCCCCCCCAGTTCTAGAATTACTGATAAAGGAGAATCTTTTCTTGAGAACCTGAGCATCAGAGCTCCCAAAACTGGCTCCAAAAAGCACAGGGCCTTTTTAGCTCTAAGACTCAGCCCTGTATTTGATAAGAAAAGGCTGAACAGATCAAAGCTGACATTGGGAGACCCAGAAAAGCGTAGTCACAAGAGAGGGACATCTCTGGGTCATTTAAAAATTTGTGAGATCCAAGCAGAGGAAGGACCCCTCTATGGAAATTTAGCTGGGCCCCTCCTGAGAATTTAGTCGGGCGCACAAGTATGGGAAATACATGCATGGTCTCCTAGGAAAATTAATGTCTAGAATCAAAGGAGTCATAACAAATATTTGCTATAGTGAGTTGAGTCATGTCCCCTAAAATAATGTGTTCTAACATCATTAGAACCTGTGAATATGACTTTATTTGAAATAAGGGCTTCGTAGGTGTAATTAAGGATCTGGAGACAAGATTTCCTTAGGTACAGAATGGACCTAGGTACAGACACAGACACACAGAAGAAAGTCAAGTGAAGATAGAAGCAGAGATTAGAGCAATGCACTTGCAAGATTTCCAACTTTGTTCCACCAGAGCTGAGAGGAGCCTGGGACAAACTGTCCCAAAGAGACATCCAAATGAATCAAACCTGGCTGATACCTTAATTTCAGATTTTTGAGTTGAGTTCTATTGTTTTGCCTTTTCACTGTTATTTATTTTTGAAGAACTGAGAGTACATGTAGGCCAGAGATGTTGGGTGGTGGTGGTGAGAGGATTCACGGAGACAGTGTGGGAAACAACAGGCAGATCTACTGAAATACATTGCTGAGGGGAGCAGCAGGGGACACAGGAGTCTGCTGTGCCATGTGGCTCCCTGGCTGGCCCTAACTCAGGCCTTGGTGATGATAACGCTGAGACTCAATCCCTTGACCAGGATGGAGTTCGATGGATTTCCATTGCTTTAAGCCACACAGTTTGTGGTAATTTGTTATGGCCGCCCAAAGAAAGAAACACATTTGCCTATTTACTTTCTCCCAAATGAGCTCTCAAGCCTCAGCTCACATTTGTTCGCCATTTCATGAGGCACACAGGTTTCGCCTCTGTACTAAGTGTTTAGTATGTGAAAGACGTTGTTGAAAGTGCTTTTCTGTTTATGCTCACAACCTCCTAGAGCTGATACTACGTTATACCCATTTCACAGAGGGGTAAACTGAGGCTCAGAGGTGCACAGGAAGAATGCCAACCTCGTAAAAGACTTGCCTTGGATAAGGATCAACTAGGGTGAGCAGGTACCCAAATGAGACAACAGTCACCGTCTGTCGCAAGAAGCAGGGCGCCTCGACGTCCCGGTTTGCAAACTGGAAGGTACCGACCCTGAGAGCTTTGTCTGCGCGTGCGCTCCTCCCACCGGTAAGACGGCCTGCGCGGGAGCACGTTGCTCCGCCCCCTTTTGCAGCACTCCCTCACGGCGACGCTTTACGGCTCTTTCCTTCTTTCCTCCGGCGGGAGCGCCGTCCACCTCGTCCCTCGTGCCTGGCAGGTCCGCCTTACTCCGCATAGATTGGTTGTCCGCCCCCCACGCCCCGCGCTGATTGGCTCACGTCGCTGCCGCTCCATTTCAGCCTTGTGGCGCGCGGCGGGGCGGCTACCGGCGGCAGCGGCAGCGGCAGCGGCGGAAGTGACCGGCGAGCCCGGTCCCCGCTGACACCATGGTGAGGGCAGGGGACGGCGAGGAGGCGGGGGACGCGGTCGTCGTGGGCCTTGGGGGCGGGCGCCGCGGCAGGGGCGCCACGGAGTGCACGCGAGCCGTCTGGGCTTCTAGTCCTTTCCCTGTTCCGAGCCGGGGGAACAGGCCGGAGGAAGCCCATGGGTCTCGGAGGCCTTAGAGTTGGACAACTCGTAATCATAAACAGCGGCCTATCTTTAGTGTCCCCATTTTGCAAATAGGGAAACGGCGGGAAGCCGCCCTACGGTCTGAGAAATGCGCGCGCGAGTGAGGTTTCTCTGGAAGGGGCTCAGACTGCATCCCGCCTCACCGATAACTTCATAGGAGCGCCATGAAGTCGGTCTGAGTCGTCAATTTCGAGCTAGTTTGAGCAACTTCAGGGCTTGCAAAGACGTTAGAATGTCAGCAGCGCAACCCCCTGTACCTCTCGTTTTCAGGCTGAAAGACCCAGAGAGGGGATTTGTCCCGAGTCTCAGCATGTTGAGTCAGGCAGAGAGGATCGGCCTCCCAGTTCACAGAAGGAAAGATCAAGGCCTTGACAAATAGCCCGCCATGACCACAATGCCCACTGTTTGGGAAGTCGAATCTGAACCAGAGAGGGCAGGCAGGTCATGGCCCCCCACGTCCCCCTCCCCCTGCCTCCATGAATAGACGGGGTAGATAGAGACTGCCATGACGAATTTAGAGCTAGGAGAACTGACTGATCTGCACCAAGATCAGCTGGCCTTGAAGAAAGGCCCTATTCCTCTTGGCCTTCGGGGATGGGCAGAACTGGAAGAGACTGAATCTTCACTTTTATCTTCAATAGGTTCCCAGAACCTAGAAGTGTCTGCAGGTCCTCAAATGTTATTTTATTCAACATTGCTTTGATTATAGGGTTGATGAAGGCAAAAGAATCCCAGCTGATGTTGAATAAACATGTTATTTGAGGACCTGGTTTCATTCCATGTCATTTTATTTAAAGTCGCAATTTCCAAGAACCTGTGGAAAACGTTAGGTGATGTACAGATTTCTGCCTTCAGCTGAAGAGAATCAGGAGTAGACAAGACATGACTCCCCCCAGCTCCTTGAGGTGAGGATAGGGTCAGAAACCGGCCTCTGGAGGAGGCTAAGGATGTCTAGACAGTTGGGAGCTTCGGGAAGCAATGAGGTCTAGGCCTGAGGATCCAAGCCCAGGAGTTCTGAGAAACCGATTCTCTTCCTGAAGCTTTCACAACTCCTGACTTCCCTCTGAAGTGGCTGTCAGACCCTCTACCGGCTTCCTCACCACCTCCAGGCATCTTCCTTTTTCTCACCTGGTTTTAAGTTCTGGGGAATCCTCTCCTTTGTATCTGGCACAGTTTGGGAAGGTGGGTGTAAAAGATGTAGGATGGAGATGTTGCCACAGCCTTAAGCTGCTGTGGCCTTAAGAGACTTTCCTGATGCCACTCCTCCCCATCTCTGCCCCTCTTCTTATCTGTGGGGTGGGGTGACTATCCCACTGCCCTGGTGACTTGTGCCTTTCCCTTATGTATTTGTTCAACAAATATTTACTAAGTCCCTTTTGTGTGCCTGGCTCTGCTGGGTGCTGGACAAAGTCCACACCCACTGAGTTTTCCAGTCTAGCCAGAGAGACATAATAAACAAACAAGCTAATTAGAGACTGACTACATCCTATAATAGAAACAGTGGAGGGTGGCCCAGGTGGAAACCTTGTTCCCAGGTGGGGTTATTACTAGAACCTCGCCAAAGTAGGTGACTTCTGGTACCCCAGCCAATGTGGAATTGACACCCCAGCCGGAGGGGGCAGAACAAAGGTTGGCAGCTGGGACAGGTGTGTATGGGGAATGGAAGAGATGTTTGGCTGCAACCACATCAGGCCTGACTTTGGCCACGTGGGGCAGCTTATGAGTAGGTGCTAGTCCCATCTATGTTGGGCTTGTCTGTGCTGCTTCATGAATAGCACTACCAGTGAGAGCAGGTGGTAGCCCCAGAGAGTCCATCTCCAGCATAGAGTATGCTTTACAAGGACATCTGTGGACTGCCAGGACTTTGCTGTGTGTCTCTGCGCATGTCCTGGCTCTAGCTACTGGTGCCTCAACCATAGCTGGGTCTCTGCCTTTGGTGCTGAGTCCAAGTTCATTTTCACCATTTAGGGCTAGCAGACCCTGTCCCCTCTCTTGGGATCTGGGAGGAAGGTACAGTTGTGTCATCTCCCTGGTGCAGATCCCCACTGACAGGAAGGCTGGCTTCTACTGTCAAAGGCCCCTGGGCACCTCACTCACTCTGGGGCAGCATTACATGGCCACATTCCAAATGGGGGGATAGGAACACAGATGGAGCCCATCCCACCACATCCTCCTCCTGTGCCTATAACAATCACCCCTTCTTTTTCCTTATCTTGCCCTTCCAGGAAGTCAGTGCAGGAAGTGGGATTGGGCCTGGCTTCCTGGCGCCGCCTCCCCCCCCCCAAGTTGGTCTTCTCAGGAAGGCCTCTGGAATACGGGATCCCCCACCCAAGCCCTTCCATGGGGAACCAGCCACACTGAAGGGGCTGAGAGCCATCATTGCTCCCCACTCCCCAAAGGGCCTGAGTCTCCAGCATAGCACAAAGTGGGCTTGGGATTTCTCTATGCAAAGAGCTGGGGCTCAGAGACTTGGAATCTGGTCACTTTCTAGTTGTAGGGCCTTTGGTGCATACTATAAGGGCTGTTGTTGGACCCAGACTAAAGCATGGCTACCCAGGACTCCCTTTAGAAACTCAGAGGCTTCAGAGGTACGTGGACTGATTTGTGTCCCCAAAACAACTGATTTTTTCCAGTCATGTCATAAAAACAAAATTCAGGAAGGATGAGAGAGAGAAATGTCTTAGAAGCTCACCTTGGGTGAGATTCTATTCTTACTTGCAGTTATCAAACATCTGGATGTTTCTTCCTTCTCACCTGATGAAACCCTGGCTTTGAAAACTGAGCTCAGATGTGACTCCGCGGGGAGACCGACTCCCAGTTGAGCCCAGTGGAGTCACTCCTGATCGCATAGGCTTAGCGCTCTGCTGCTCATAGACCTGGTCAGGCCGGGCTCTATCCCTTCTAGCTCTAGCGCCCAGCAAGTTGTCTACCTCCATGAAGTGACTGTGATGATCACCAGATTTGATCCATCAAGGTGGATGGGACTCGGTGCCATCATTTGGGCAAAAGGCACAAGTAGCAGCAAGACCTCTGTGCTGTGGTACAGTTTCTACGGGGGGGTGGGGAAGAGGGGGTACTGCACCAGGAATGGTCAGCATCAGGGACAGGTAATGGTTTCCTTTGGAAAGTCACCAGATTGCCCAGGGTTTTCTTTCCTAAACTGGAGGGCATGTGTGCACCCTCATGCTGGACAAAGTGAGGAGATTCATTAGGACCTAGAGGTGTGTGCTGATGAACTGAGATGCCCAGGGCCGTCTGATACTGATCACACACTGGATCATGTGCCTCTGTTTGCCTTTCAGCTTCCCTTGTCACTGCTGAAGACGGCACAGAATCACCCCATGGTGAGTACCTGCAAGTCAGCCACAACGGATTTCAATGGGACAGGGACACTGGGGAACGGGTGAGGGGCCTTCAGCCAGATCTGTTTCCTGCCTGTCCAGGAAACAGCAGCTCACTCTCCTTTCTCCCCCACACGTCAGGACCTGTGTCATTTCTGCTGCTGATGAAAGTTATCTATGTTAAAATTTTAAATGCTAGAAACACAGAATGTGGAACCTCTCTATTCCCAGCAGTATATCTGATAGGTGCTCATTCACACGTTGGACTTGAGCATGTAAACATGATGTAAGTTTTTAAAACAGGGTTGCCCCTCCCTGGCGGGGCAACAGGTTAAAGCGTAGCATATGAAGCTGGCAACAGCCACTTCAGCACAAGTTTGATCCCCAGCCAGAGAGGTGACCCACATGGCACTACAGACCTCTCCTGTCTGACCTGCTGCTCCCCTCAGCAGTGTACTTCATCAGTCTGCCTGTTCTGCTCCCCACTCTGTCTCTGGTGAATCCTCTCACTGCCCCTGCACCTCTGGCCTGTACCCTAGTTCTGTATGTATAAATAAATAAATCTTTTTTTAAAATACTACTTCTAAAAAATAACAATAAAACGGGGTAATGACATATACATTATTCCCTAAACTACTTCTGTCCTCAATAGTATAGTGTGGTATCTGGCAATATGTTTTTTTTTTTTTTTTTTTTTAAGATTTATTTATTTGTACAGACAGAACTAGGGTACAGGCCAGAGGCTCGGGCGGTGAGAGGCTTCACCAGAGACAGAGTGGGGAGCAGAACAGGCAGATCGACGAAGTACACTGCTGAGGGGAGCAGCGGGCGGGTCAGGAGAGGTCTGCCACACCATGTGGTCACCTCCAGGGCAGGCGGGAATCGAACTCATGCGGAAATGGCTTTAGCTTCTCAGTGCAGTGCTTCAACCCGCTGCGCCACCAGGGAGGGCCTGGCAGTATGTTTTCTTTTAATTATTGTCCATATATAATAACATACCTTACAATTCAACCTTAAAATGAACAATTCAGTAGCATTTAGCACATTCACCATGTTGTGTGACCATCCCGTCACCCCCTCAGGAGAGCCTATCCCCATGAGCAGTCACTTCCCCCAACCACTAGTCTGCTTTGTGTATGGATTTGCCTATTCTGGACACTATGAGTGGATCACATGCTCTGGTCGCTTGTGTCTTGCTTTTCAGCATGTTTTCAAGATTCATCTACACTGTAGCTTGTGTCGATGGAACCACGTTGTGCTTATCCATTGTCTGCTGATGAACGTTTGCGTTGTTCCACTTTTTCATTCTGTGAATATTTTGGCTGCTGTGGACACTCGTGTACACATGTGGATGTGTGTCTTCATTTATCTTGGGCAGATATCCGGGATGGGGTCTAGGCCTTTCCCTAGCAATAACATATATATTCTATTCATCTGTTTTCCAAAACACATTAAAATAGGCAAGTAGGGCCCTCCCTAGTGGCACAAGGGGTTAAGTGTTATCACTGTCAAGCTAGCAGCAGCCACTGCATCATGAGTTCAATCCCCGGCCAAGGAGCTGGCCCACATGGTGCAGCAGACCTTTCCTATCTTACTCCCTGCTCTGTCTCTGGCGAATCCTCTCCTCCCACATCTCTGGCCTACACCCCAGCTCTTATATGCATAAATAAAATCTTTTTCTCTTTTAAAAATTTATTTATTTATGCATACAGAACTGGGGTGCAGGCCAGAGGTGTAGGAGTGGTGAGAAGCTGAGGCTAGTTTGCCATGCTTTAACCCTTTGTGCCACCAGGGAGGGCCCTAAAATAAATCTTTCTTTTTAAAAAAAAAAAGAATAACCATGTTTTCAGACCACCAGGGCATATGCATATACTGCCACAATAACTCCTGCCAGACCACTATCTTCATTTTGCTTGTCCTTGCAAAGATTTGTGGGGGGTTTTATAATTGCATAGAAAATAACCTCACTGCAAAAGGCCTACAATGTCCCGCAAGTGTACAGAGGAATCAGAATGAGTCGCCTGTAAGAAGGGCTGTGAGGGACCTCGGTGCCCTGTGCTGTGGTCAGAGGCAGGAGGAAGCAGGTTTTCTGAATGGGGCCCGTGGCTGACTTGGAGCTTTTCTCTCTCCAGTTGGTGGAGCTCAAAAATGGGGAGACATACAACGGGCACCTGGTGAGCTGTGACAACTGGATGAACATCAATCTGCGAGAGGTGATCTGCACGTCCAGGGTGAGTGGCCCAGAGTCTGCTCCTGCGCTAGGTCGGGGTGCGAGGAGTAGGAGACTCTTGATCTAGAGCCCTGCTCAACCTGGGACTTACTGATCTTGGAATACTCATTAGTAAGTGGGGTGACAGCCCCTCCTTGGACCCTGCAGGGGGAATGGAAGGAAACGTACCTGTGAGCCTATCAACTCCCCTAGACCTGGCATCCTACCTGGGGCAGGGCTTGCGGAAGGCTTGCAGTCTTGGTGGGAGTGCAATCTGCGGGAGAGACTGGCTGTGGAGGAGCTGGCCGAAGAGACCAGGACACCAAGCTCCCGTCATTGCCTGGATTTTGTATCTGCTCAGATGCTGCCCAGCCAGAGGGTGCTGAAATACCCTACAGGCCTGAGCTGCTATGTCTATTAGTGTCACCTCTGACCAGGATGGACTTAATGCCTGAGGTGCATCTTGGGCTACAAATCCTGTGTGGTAGGAAGTGGCTTCTAGAGCAGGCTAGACCTGCCTCGCCTTTGCTCCTGACATTGAAGATCACCTGGGCCTTATAGGCCACAGTGGTATGGCAGTGGGATGTCTAGACCTCCAGGGGGTAGGATAGCCCTAGGGCCCTGCGAACAAGGAGACTTGTTTACTCCAGGGATCTTAAACCAGAAAGCACAGGACCAGGAACAGCCTTGGACAGGCCAGGGCTAGGCCTCTCCTCACCCTCGCGATGAAATGAAGGTGAAGGCAGTGGCTCTTCCTGCTGCCTTGCTCTGGGCTCTGCTAGAGCTCTCCTTCCACTCTGACTTTGGCAATACCCACCACCCCTTCCCACTTTCCTGACACTACAGGGGAGGGAGCTCCCTTGGGGGACTCAGTGGCCTGCTTCTTATGGCCCAAGCCTGCTGGAAACTCCCTTTTGTTTCCCATGCTCCAGTCTAGACAGCAAATATCTGGGTGGCTCAGTGTGACTTTTTTTTTTTTTAATGTTGGTCATTTTAAGGGTTTACTTTTTTTTTTTTTTTAAAGATATTTATTTATTTATGCATACAAGAACTGGGATTCAGGTCAGAGGTGTGGGGGATGAGAGGACTCACCAGAGACAGTGGGGAGCAGAGCAGGTGGATTGACTGAAATATACTGCTGAGGGGAGCAGCGGTGGGTCACCTCCCTGTCTGGAAATCAAACTCATGCTGTAGTGGCTGCGATAGCTTTACAGTGCTGTGCTTCAACCTGTTGCACCAACAGGGAGGGCCCCCCATTGTGACTTTTGAAAATTGTGCCACCACACACTATTCATATAGCCAAGCAAGGTCCTTGGCCAATAGGTCTGTATTCACTTCTGTGACCTGCAACCATTGGCCCCTAGAGTGAGCTCAGACTATCCTCTGTTGTCAGCTGACAGTGGCACGTGGAATTACTGTAACGGGAAGCCTTGTTTCCAGACCACCCGAGCACAGGCATACACCACCGAAAGAACACTACCTCATCAGTGGCCACCATTATCCTAACCTTGGTCATCCCTTTAAAGACTTGTGGGTTTGTTTGTTTCAGTGGTGCAAAAAATAACCTCACTGTAGAAAGCTTACACTACCCAGCAAGTGGCATTGTTGAGCAGACCCCCTCCTTGCCCTGGAGGCTGGAATGAAGTGGGAATGTGCTCTGGGTCCTCATCTCTCCCTCAGGCACTTGAGTGGGCAGCAATATGCAGGAACCCCCTCAGGCCTGAGAAGTCACAGGGAGAACTAGGTTGGAAGTAAATGGTTGAGGCTGTGGGCCACCACTGTCTGCCCACCTCCAGCCTTGGACTGTATCTGTTTCTGACTGGCTGTGATCTGCAGCTCATGGATTTGTTGGCCCCTTGCCTACACTCTGGGAAAGGAATGCCTCCCGGGGTTCCTGTGTGGGTTGGGGGCTCTTGCTGTTCCTGGGAAAAGTCGGCCCTTGAACATTCCATTGGTCCTGCCAAGCACCTCCATCAGGCCAGGCCAGACCAAACCAGCCCAGGCTATTCCAGCAAATTGTACACTTGGGTTTCAAGGAAACAGTAGGCAAGGTCAATGGAGGGCCAGAGTTAGCCTGCTGTAAGCAAGAAGCATGTTGTGTATATTCCAGAAAGTTCCAGGCAGGTCAGGTCAAGGATTCAGAGAGAGCAGCCAGGGTGGGGCTGAATTCCAAGACTTTGGGAGCCACACTGAGACCTCCTCCTTGAGCCAAAGGGACCCTGTTTGGGCTTTAAGTAGAGAGATTTGGTTTGATTTCTAAGGGTGTAGGGGGACAGCTATCTGGACTTCTGGCTCAGGGCAACAGCTGGAGAACTAATCTAGTGGAACAGCCCCAGGTTCAGTAGGAGGGAGTGTGATGGAAGGCCCTTTCTACAGTGGGGAGAAGGCTTTGCCAGCCCCTGTCTCTAGCTGCATTGAAAACTAGTGTGAGAAGCTGCCCCTGGCGGGCTCAGGCTTGCCTTCCCCACCCCTCAGGCCCTCCTCACCATCACACAGGGTCTCTAGCGTGCTCACGCCCACACACACCACGTCAGGAGGTACTTCGTGGGTGAAGGGATGAGTCAGGGCATTGGAGAGGGCTCCAGAAGGTGGTTCTGGAGGCTTCCACAGCCCAGCTTCTGTAAGCCTCAGGCTACAGGTAACCACCCCCTCTTGTCTGGCAGTCTAATCTCCCATGCAGCCCCATGTCCCTCGAGTGGAGATTCCCAAAGTTCTGGTGAGATCCACTGGCCCCTCCCCAAGGAGGGTCCAGACCTGAGAACTCTATGGCATGCAGCCTTGGTTCCAGCATGGTGTGGGGCCCGGGCTTGATGGGGACCTGGGTAAACGGGTAGATACTGCCCTGGCCAGCTATTGGGACACACTCCAGAGTTGAGATAAAATGACCACCCCCCACCCCAACAGGATGGGGACAAGTTCTGGCGGATGCCCGAGTGCTACATCCGTGGCAGTACCATCAAGTACCTGCGCATTCCTGACGAGATCATCGACATGGTGAAGGAGGAGGTGGTGGCTAAGGGCCGTGGCCGAGGTGGCCTGCAGCAGCAGAAACAGCAGAAGGGCCGAGGCATGGGAGGTACCGGTCGAGGTAGGCCCTTTCCCTGCCCGTACCCAGAATACTGAGTTTGGGGGGTGGTTTCCCTGCTGAGTTGGGGGGGCAGCCAAAGCACGTGGCGTTCATCCAGCTCAGTGTTGACATTCCTGGCCACTGCTGTCACAGAGCCCTCCCTCTTCCCCTCCCCACATACACAGAGCTGTGAGGCCGTGACTCATGGTGCGCCTCTGCAGGCAGCTGACACTGCTGTTGGCAGTGTGCTCCCACCCCAGGGTCCTGGCCGCCGGCCTGGGGAATAGCGTTGACCGCTCCTACCAGGGTCCTCAGTTCCCTACTCCAGGCCCACTCTGGGGGCTCTGCAGCGCCCATGCAGACCTGGGGTTTGACCCTTCATCTCAGCCCCTGCCTCTCCTGGCAGGTGCTCTGGACCTCCCTGAGCCTCAGTTTATCCTCTACAGGGAGGGTCAGGCAGCACCTGCTTCCTGAGGTTGCTGGCGAGCACTCATCTCCAGAACTGACACAGATCCTTTATTCACTGTCACATTATACAAAGCCTAGCAATACCTGATGGACCCCTTCCTTGCCCTGCCCCAGATTATAAATCTGGCATAAAACTCAGTTAGTCCTGCAGTCAGCTCACACTGACTGTATGCCTTGCCCCTCCTTACCTCTCCCTGCCTGGCTTCTGTTCTTGGAGGGCTCTGGCTTTGTCTTTCCCATCTACTGGCACCTCCTGTATGCCAGGCTCAGGTCCCACTCTGGGAGCTCGCTGGCAGAGCCAGGAAGGATACAGGAACCACCCTTGAGCACAAGTAGCCAGGAGTGAGCCAAAGGGCAGAAGGGCTGACTAGGCCCAGGGTTGCCGGCCTGAGGCTAGGGGTTCTCAAGCTACTACCTGTCCCATTCCAAAGGGCCAGACCCTTAGTGCTGGGTTCTAACACTGTTAGGATCAGGGAGGGACTCCTCAGGCTGCTATGAGGAGATCATGTGTCCTCAGTGGTGGGTGGGCTCTCTCCGAAGCACCTAAGCAGGCTGCCCTTAGCCCAGAAGAGATGAGGTTGGACAGCCCCTGCCAGCAGCTCCTGTGCATCTCTGGTGGAAGGGGTCTATGCACATGGACTTGTGTCCACGTGTTGCATGGTCTTTTCAGGGCAGTAGAGGCCTGTTTGGAAGTGAACCACATACTGCCACTACTGGCTGACAAAGTTCTGAGGGCAGGGCGCTTGCTTGTCCCTACCACTGAAGCTGGATGTACAAGTCCCCATATGGACATTGTATAGTAGTGAGGGAGGGGTACATTATATAGTGGAATGGACATTATAGAGTGATGAGGGAGGGGGCCGTGGGTCCCCCGATTCAGGTCCCTAGCTCTGAGCTGGGGGTTTCTGCCCCCACCCCTGAATCCCGCCTCTGCCCTGGCTCTGGTTCTCGCCGTCTCCTGGAAGTCCTGGTTTTGTCATCTCCTATAGGACTCCAAACCCGAGAGGCCTTTGCCTGGCCAGAGACACCCACCTCGATCCTCCCTGGCACCCTTGCACCACCTGTCATACAGAGAATGTCCATGCCTTGGTCAGACACTTCATCCCAGGCTCTTGACACACACACACACACACACACTCTCTCTCTCTCTCTCTCTCTCTCTCTCTCTCTCTCTCTCTCTCTCTCTCTCTCTCTCTCTCTTATAGAATAGGAGAGACTTGGGCTAGGTGATTCAACCAGAGTTGAGGGTTCTGGCCAGAGTCTCTGTCCACGGTAGGATGGCTGAGCCCAGCTCTGCTGCAGCATCTTCTCTTCTCTTCTCTGCCCCACAGGTGTGTTTGGCGGCCGGGGTCGCGGCGGGATCGCAGGCACAGGCAGAGGTCAGCCAGAAAAGAAGCCCGGCAGACAGACGGGCAAACAGTGAGCTGCCCCAGCCAGAGACTGAGCGGCGGGCTCTGCTCCCACCTGAGGCTGCGTTTCTACTCTCCGGTTCAGAAGGAACAGACATGCTGGGGAAGCCCCTGGCCTGGTCTGTGGTCTGCTCTTTATGTAAAGTCCTTGTTTCTGCCAGCACTTCTACAGTTGGAAACGCTGTCCATTGTTTTTGGTTTTGTGAAATTGTAACATCTTTTAAAAGTCCATGCTCTTGTTTTGAGGGCAGGCTTCTTCCAAGCAGGTTTGTTTGCATTTGAGTTGGAGTCCCGTGTGGCAAACAGACGGGATTTATTTTAAACTCTGCTGAGATTGACAGCCTCAAGTTTTTTGAAACACAGACCCCAGAGTTGCCTTTTCATAATAAATGTGGAGAAGCACGTGCCCCACAAGCTGTACCAGGAACGTTGTTGGCCCTTGCCCTTTGGCCTCCCATCTCCCTCTTTGTGTTATAAAAATAAAAGCAAATGCAACTACAAACTGCAAATCCATGATCCCTTTTGAGCTGTCAAGCGTGTGGTAGCCCTGTCAGAGAAGTTCCCTTTGGACAATTGTGGTTCTTTCACTGTGGGGAGGCATTTCAACAGGAGATAATAGTTGCATGTCCTTCAATATCCTCTTACAAAAGAAGAGTCCAGCTTGTAGATGGTTGGAGGCCCCGCAGCAGATTTGTCTGTGACCGTCCTTCATAGGGATAGTGATATAGAGAGATGGGGGAGGATAACCCCAGGCCAGAGCCAGAATGGCACCCACAAGGCCACCCTTATTCCTATCCTGTTTTGCAAGCACCAGCCACACCTGAGTTCACAGGAGAAGCCTTGACAGGCATTGACTAGAGGAACGCATGAGATGCTCTTTCCCCACATCCCTGCCTGTTCACACTTGGTGATTTGTCTGATAAGTTGAGCCAACACATTTTCAAAACACTTTTGATGACAAGGTCCTCAGACAGATTGCGCTTTTGTGAGGGGAAGCTCAGCGTCATAAGTGCTCAGAAGCCAGACTGGGTGCAGCCAGTTCTGGAGTTGAGGATCCTAATTGTAACTTTGTTGAGACCTGTCATTGTGAGGAGTGGTTGGCATAAAAGGCATATGGCCCAGAGACCTCCACCTGTCAGTCTGCAAAGTGTGATCCCGTCATCTGGCAGAGTTGTATGTTACAGAAGTCTTAGCCCTGCGTCCGTAGCTGCCCTCCTGCACCCACCCTCATCCTTGCTTCCCCGCTGTTAAGATACACAGAGGAAGCAGTATTTGGGCACAAGTTTGGAACAGGTATGGGTATGGAGAGTTCCTAACAAGCAATAAGACCAGGAATGCACCTCCCTCTTCAGGGTGTTGGTGGCGGCCTGGGGAGAGTGGGCTGTGTGGTAGCAATGCTGATGGGTAGAGGGGACAGACCAGTGGAGGCAGTGGGGGGTGTGCTCACAGCTCCCCTCCCTCATGTCCTTGGATGCAGGTGCCCATAAAGGCCTCTGGGGTCCGGGAGCCCCGCTTCTGGTCAGGGTTAGGCTTTGATTCAGGAGTCGGCCTGTGTGTGAAGGTAGGAAACCCTTGAAGGTCCCACTTCTGCTCCTGGAGGAGGGGTGGTTTCCCTCCCCTAGCTTGACCTAGAATGTGTTCTGATGCCCCCAATAACCCTTTCTCAGTGCTGGGGTTCATTTCACCCTGTGCCACCAGCCAACCTTGATCTTTTCAGCCTGAGAGCCCAGGTCATGGGCCGGCCCTCTACAGCCACCCTGTGGGCTTCTGGAAGGCTCTGTCCTGAGCTGTGTGTCTGGTTGGCCTGGTTTTTACAGTCTTCTTCCTGGTTGGGTTGCAAGAAACGCTTCAGCCCCCTCAACCAGAAGAGAAACCAAAAGCGGAGACTTAGTTCCTGTACATGGGGCCTCAATCTTTGTGCCCTTCTGACAGGTTCAGTGCTGCTGTCTGTGCCATATCAGCTGACTAGGGCAACTCCCCAACAGGAATGTAGGTGCTTTAACTGTAGGTGATTCCCAGTCCCGCCTATGACCTCCTCCCCCTGGAGTTGGCTCCAAATGGTTGTCAGAGAAGCCCAAAGCCAAGGTGTGACTGGGCCTCAGCCCTCTCAGCGCCCTGTCCAGAACACAGACGTGGCATGGTCTCCAGCAGCAGTCCCAAAAGTGGCTGCCTCACCCCTGCCTGTACCACCCCATATCAATTCCTCCTTCCCTCCGTCCAACCGCACCTGCTGCTCCCAGAGCAAATCTGCTAGGAATCCCTGTCCCTAACCTGCCTTTCTTGGTTGGGTGATGGCCCTTGCCCTGGCAGCTCCCTCCCCACCCCCAGACTCCTGGTGCGTCCTGGCCTAGGCCACCTGTGTTCCCAATGGCACTGACATGCCCTGGTGTCCTCCACCGTCTCCTTTAGACAGGGCTACTCATCGGGGGTAGAGGAGGTGACCTGATGTCCACTGAGCTCTGTGGGAGAAGCTGACCACTACAAGAAAACAGGGCCAGGGTATCCGGAACTAGGGCCAGACTCAGAGCACCACCAGCCCTGCCCTTCCACAGTGCTATAGTACAAGAAAGCAAGGGTGGGGAGGAGAGGTGTCAGGCCAGAGGGTGGCAAGGGAGCCGCCATCTGGGGGGGCAATCTTCCACACAGGAGCAGCCCGTGCAAAGTTTCAGCACAGAGTAACGACTTAAAGTGAGAGAAGCCGGAAATGGGTTAGATACAGCCCCTGATCAAGACAGGAAGCTGCAAAAGGTTCTGGAACACACTGAGGCAAGGGTGGAAACCAGGAGACCAGAAGGAAGTGATGCTGAGGACTCACCCAAGGTGGAGGTCACAGAGAGAAGGTGTAGGGGAGTCAAAGGGCCAGGCAGCAGCCAGCTGTGGCTGTGGTTCTACAGAAAACCCAAGAAGTTGCTGTCTGGAAGCAGGGAATAGGTATAGGAACAGCAGTTCGAGGCCCCTCCACTTCTGTGGCCTGTAAGGCACAGGCAAAATCAGGGTCATCAGATCCAGGTGCATGACACTGATAGCAGCCCAGTGTGTGCCAGGGAAGTCCATGGCAAGCACAGAAAGGAGCAAATGACCCACCCAGGTCACAAAGTCCAGAGCTTCCAGAGCTCCTCCCTCTGTGGCCTTGACCTCGGAGGATCCATTCACCTTCTGTCAGTTCAGGCGTGGGACATTTGCAGAGTCCGTGTAGGCAAGATTTGACTCCTACTTTACAAATCACTCCTTTTGTAAAGGTTTATTTGTGTATGCATACAAGTACTAGGGTGTAAGCCAGAGGTGCAGGGGGTGGGGGCGTGAGAGGATTTCACCAGAGAGCTGGGAGCAGAACAGGCAGATGGACTAAAATACACTGCTGAGGGGAGCAGTGCGCGAGACAGGAGTGGTCTGCTGTGCCATGTGGGTCACTCCCTGGCCGGGGATTGAACGTATGCTTGCAGATAGCTTGATAGCTTGATAGCACTGTGCAGTCCTTAACCCCTGCTCCACCAGGGAGGCCCCTACAATTCACTCCTGACTGGAGTAGCCTCAGGGAAGGTCAAGGTTCAAGGTGCCTGGCAAATGTAACCCCTGCTGGACCTCAGTTTCCTCACCTGTCAGCAGGGCTTATAGTAGACCCCACCTCGTGGAGTGGAGTCATTGAAAAGATGAGAAGGGAGGAGGCCTGATACACAGCAAGAGCTCTGTGCCTGCCTGCCCACCTGTCAGACTTCCCAGAGACTGCTCAGTGTTGGGAACCTTACCTGGGATGATCTCCATCCTTTGATTCCTCTCCTCTCCATCCATCTGAATCTTTGGATCAGGGTGTGTGGGTCTTTTGTCAAGGGGGTGCCTTAGGCAGTTGTACCACATGCTACCCTGACAGTGGCCAGGCTCTATCTGTGCCCCAAGGGCCAGCACCAGACACCAGGCTGGGGAGGGTGAGCTGTCACCTCAGAGGTCCCCAGTCCTGCCCTGCGAGCCACCTCCTGGCCTGGATTTGGCCACCCAGCATGACTCACCCATGCCCCGCCTCTGCTGGAACCAGGCACTGAAATAGTCACCCAGCTCACTCTCGGGAGTGGCCGTGGAAATATTTCAGGGCTGCATTCAGTGCCTAAAAATACTCCAAGCGTCCTCCTGCGTCTTCTCCTCCCTCATTCCCTTCTCTGTTCCTTTGTAAACCATCCCTATGAACAGCCTGGGGCCTGTCCCTCTGTCCCTGCACCCTACCCTTCCACCGCTGAGCGTGCCTAGCAAGTAGGGTCCCCAGATGCCCAAGTGCGTGTGCAGGGCAGAACAGCAGTCTCTCCCTCTCCACTGCCACGGAGGGCCTCACGTTGATTTCCCTGGTCCTCTGAAAGGGTGGCCTTTTCTACACACTCCTCCTCACCTCCCAGAAGTCTCTTTTCCTTGGTAAGGGAGGGACTGGCACAGTGATACAGTTCAGGGAAAGCCCGTTACTCAGTTTTTCTTAAAAATCAGAAAATGGGGCCCTCCCTGGTGGCGCAATGGGTTAAAGTGCAGCACTGTGACGCTCTCTGCAGACACTGCAGTTTGTGTTCGATCCCCAGGCCAGGGAGGTGACACTGTTTGCCCGATGCTCCCCTCAGCAGTGCCTTTTCTGCTCCCCAATCTGTCTTTGGTGAATCCTCTCATCCCCCTGCACCTCTGGCCTGTACCCTAGTTCTTGTATGCATAAATAAATCTTTTTTAAAAATCAGAAAATGGTTTTTGCCTTCGTGGTTATAAGATAGCCAGAAACAGGTGTCCCCAGACAGGACCCCCTGCTGGACTGTCCATCACCTCCCTACCTACTCCTGATGGTTGTAGGTCTTTCTCCTTCTTTGGGAGAAGGGAACAGACTGACCCTCCATGGCACCTAACATGGCTCCTGGCCGCAGCACCTCCAGGTCACTGTCTCTTAACCACCAAGCACCTCAACCTTTACAGTGGCCAGAGGGAGGGGGAGGGGAGCAAAAGAAGTTAGCCTATGGCTTGGACCTGGGGTCAGGATCTGCTCCAGACTCTCAATCACCTGGACTCCATCTGCAGGGAATGTTATAGCACAGCAAATCTGTTAGAGGACAGGGGGAGAGGGGCACCCCTGAAGCCCCAAAACCTGCCTGCTCTAAGTGGGTCCTGCCATCCGCCGCAACAAGACAAAACATATAAAACTTTAATGAAAAGGGACTTTAATACAGTGAATATACAATACAGAACACAAAGAATAGAACTTCTAAATCAAACACCTGAAGTGACCCATCCCCTCGTGGGCAAAAGTCAACCCAAAAGGGATTGGCCCAAAGCAAGGCCTGAAAGCTGCCACAAGACTAAAGCACCTTCTGGCCAGGACCCATGTTAAAGGGTCAGAAATGGCCAGACAGATCTGGGAGGAAAAGAGCAACATCAAAATCAATATAAACACTGCCATAGTCACCTCCCTACAGGGATCTCACCCACATCTGCCTTAACCAGTCCAGGGTCAGGAAACAAGCATGGCTTCTTCCTCACAGGCTTG